ATAAGTATCAAAGACTGATTTTGGTCCTATAGGCATGATATCTAGTTGAACGTGAAATGAAGCATGAAGGATTTACAGCGAAATTCCTATAGGCATGATTTCTATAAAAACACTGATTTTAATCTTATAGACATGACATCTAATTTTAAAGCTGATTTTAACCATGCAGACATGACAACTGATTATAACCATTTAGATCCTATAGGTATGGTGTCTAAGTGTGGTAATAGAACATGCAGAGTTCATTAAACAAATCCTATAGGCATGTTCTTTATTCGCGTTAAAATAGAGCATGCAGAACTTGAATTAAAATAGAACAGATCTCATCCCTTTTTACTAACCAGACCCAATGTTTGTTACAAATTATTACAGACCAAACACTGAATTACATCAGAAAAGTGTAAAGTAAGAAGTTACAACCATAGGAAACCTGATTCTTGACTTCCTCTCTGAGTTATGGAATAAACCACCTCAAGAGCCACTTGTTTCAAAGCCTTTCTCAGACCTGGGTGTGTCAAAGTTCCCTAAGGGTCTCAAGGGACTCCGGGCAGTGCTTACACCCAGGTTTGCATAATCAGACAGAAATAAGTGTAGTGTAGAAGGGCCAACCCTTATGTGTCCAAGTTTAGAGGGATCTCAAGGGTCCCAAGGCAAGGCTCACACAAGAGGGACAGAACCTAGGTTCTAAGAATATAGTGGAAGTGCAGAATACAGGGATTTATTTAAAACTGGGTTGAGAATGGTAAGGGGTAAGGGTGATTTGAAAATAGTAGTAGTAAAGCTTGAACTACACAGAATCAGCAGTTGCACAAAGGGGTCAGGGGTTTTGGGAATACATTGCATGAAGCATATGACCCCAGGAAGAGTCAGGTTTGGACATGCATAGCAATGGATGATGCTGGCATGCCACGAACCAGCCAGAGAACACAAACACAAAGAGGGGATATGGGGATTCACACACATAGGAGAGCATTAATTTAAAAGGGGAAGGGAACACATTTCAATATGCTAGTAATGTAACTTGATTGCAGAAACATAAGCAGAAATAAACAAACATGAGAGAAGTTGGAACAATTACAGAAAACATGTTGTTGTTGATGCTTGAAAATTAACTAGGACATACCAGTAAGAAGCAAAGTGCAGAAAGGAAAGGTAAGCAAATTTCCACAGCCTAGCCTTGGCTTTCAGCCGGCTATACAAAGCAGTAGCACAAGTAGCAATAGAGAAAGAGAGAGTTTTGAGTGAAGTGTGTGTTCTTGAACCCAAATTGTTCGTGTCTTTGAAAGAAAAGAGGATGTGTATTTATAGTTTTAAAAACAGGTGAAGAGTAAGGTAATAAGTAAAGTCTTAACACAAATATGGAAATAATCACAAGTTAGAATCAATTAACCCAAGTGATTCCCCTTTAATTAAGGAATCACCGTTTAACGGGTAGTAGCAGGTCTAATTTAAGAGAAAAAATCAGTTTGGGGACAGATTGATTATTGCCATAAAAAGGGTAGTAAAAGCATGAAGTAAACAATCAAGTCTAAGTGCCAAGATATGCTTATTTTTGAAAAGATTCAGTAAGGTAAAATATCACAGCAAAGGAAAGGAATCAATTAATTTTAAACAGGCGAGTGAAATTAGGGGTCATAAAAGAAAAGCTTTTGCAATCAGTCACAAGACCAAGATCAATCAAGGAAGAAATACGATTTTGCACTTCAGTATATAAATAGAGTGAACAGAAGCATCAGACATGCGAGGCCAAGCACATTGGCAAAAGAAACAACATACAATAGTAGCATAAATAAGCTGGGATTCAGTAGTAAGAAAGATATTCGAAGCATAGTAGTCAAGTATGTCAAGTAGTCACGTAGAATTAACAGTGAGAAATCATAGCAACAGGTAAAGAGAATCGGAAACAAGTAAAGGTCTCACAGCATCAAGTGAGGAAAACCTTTTAAGAAATTAGGGTTTCAACAATAATCGAGTTAAAAATATAGTGAAACTCAGAATCAGATAGGTCACATAAAAGAAAAGAGAGTCTGAAACAAGGAATCTTTAATCGAGTCAAGTATACTTTCAAACAAGCAGTCTCAGACCAAAAGACCTAGGGTTTTCCACAATAATCGAGTTCAAAAGATGGTAAAACTTAGAATCAAATAAGTCAAACAAGAACGAAGAACTTAATCTAGCAAGTACACATTCAAACATGCAATTTCAGAACTCGGATGAGACAAGAAGGAACTAGGGTTTTAACATGCTAACTCAAGTAGAAGGAAAGCATAACAAGCAGTTTAAACATATTAAAACCATAAAACAACATCAAGAATCAGAAAAGAGATTTTTTTTAAAATGGAGGTTAAGAGAAACCCTAATCGGAGAAAATGAAGGGTCGATTTGAAAGAAAAGTTGAAGAACTTTCGAGAAAACACTTAAAACATTCATAGAAAGTACAGATCTAAAGTAGATTTGAAAGAAAAATCCAAAGATCTTAAAGATTAGGGTTTTGTAAGACCCAGAAAATGTGAGAAAGACCTTGAAAGTTACCGATCTAACCAGGAGAGTCAAGGATCTGACTCGAACGACCATGGCTGGCCGGAGAAAGGTCATGGATGACCGGAGAAAGGCCATGAACATAAGTTGAGCAAGGACTGGACCAGATTCCCTCGAGGTCTGGCCATGAAATCATAAAAACAAATACCCAGGAGTCATAGGAGGCCACTACATATCTCCAATGGCCATGGGAGGCCACTACATATCTCCAATGGCCATGGGAGGCCATGGATTAGGCAGGGTTTAGGGTGGATTAAGGTGGGATTAGATGGCCGCGGCTAGGGTGCTTGAGAGGTTTCAGAGAGAGTTGAGAGAGAAAGGGGATTCAAAGGTGGCGGGTGTAGAGAAATGATTTAGGTTTAGGGGTCGTTCAGGGTTTAAAAAGGTAAAGGGGAACGGTGGTCGTTGATCTAAATGATCAACGACTAAGATTAAAGGGGTTAGGTGGGGAATCCGGGTTGGGTCACTTAAATTAGGTTAGGGGTCGGGTTTGAGTTGCAATTGGGCTGGGAAATTGGGTCTGATTTGGGGCACAATTTAGGCTGAAATTGAAAGCCAATCTGGCTAGATTTTAAATAGTCATTTTACCCATTCATTTTATAAAAATAGTAAATTAATTTCTGAAAACAAATTAAAAGCACTAAAATGATTTATAACATATAATTAACAATTTAAAAATATAGAACTTGATTTTATGAATATAAACGCAATTAAATCTTAAAAGAGGCTAACATTGCAATTAAGTGCAATTTAGCTTAAAAATACTAAATAAATTTGTAAAAATATGAAAAAATTACTTTAGCTATATTTTAGCATAAATTTCAAAGTACAATGAATGAATTACCAAAATAATAATTTTGAAAATAATTATTAGGTTTTTATAGATAAAAGAGGGAAATAAATTGATTTTAAAAACCTTTAAAAATTATGAAAAAATAATAAAACACTTGGACATGCTTATATATGCATATATATGCTATTTTGAAGGTATTTTGCATATTAAAAAATATATAGGAAAAAATTGGGTATCAACAATGCGCACTCGAAAGTATTTAAATTATAAAAGTACTATATATTTAGTTTGTTTATAAACAAGTGAAATTTCACATGTTACTCGTAGATAAAAGTAAAAGGCAGAATAGCCTAGGAGACACTTGTACTTGTTCTGGTTTGTTATACCGATCCCTACACACCATAAAGTTTCATCCATACACCTCAACTTAATCAAAACAAGACATTTAAACACTTCCGAAATTGTGTGATGCTCAATTGCTTGACGTGGGTGACAAATCAGCATCCATATCAGATTCTATGCCAAAATAATATTATTTAACAAAATTATAATTTCAGAAACAAAAAATAAAATAAAATAAAATAAGCAAAAAATTAAAATTAAAATTAAAGAAAACCCCTCCTCCCTTCTTCAAACCCACCCACTCAACCTTCTTAAAAGAATAACTCACCTGCCATGACTCCTCCACTATAAGTACCACCACTTCCTTCACTCCTTTTTTAAAGAAAGTTATCTATCCATAAAAAATACATGAGCAGAGAATTAATTCTTTTGAATTTTGACTTATTCCTTTACCCCAATTTGGAAGAGCTGTGAAAAAATTTGAAAGCTAAAACCACCAGAAAAAATAAAGGAGCCATAGAGAAGGGGAAGATGACATGATGGAAGAAGAAATACACACCAAAGAAAAAAATCTAATGAAAGAAGGGATGAACAAAGATGAAGAAAAAGGGAAAAAGAGGGGATCTAAAGAAGAAGATGAGGAGAAGAGCCCCCCGGGTGGGTGGGGGGCAGAACGAAGGGGGAGCTTCTTTTATACTAGAATAGCTGCTAGTATTTTTTTTATTAATTTTATATTTTTAATAAAGAAAAATCATCAGTTCACACACCTAATGTATGTGTAAATCACTCATTTTGTCCACTTCAGCCGTATCAATGCCACATAAGCTCGGTTAACTGTCAGAAGGGTTTAAAAATCTTGTTTTGATTAAGTTGAGGTGTCTGGATGAAACTTTATGGTGTGTAGGGACCGGGATAACAAACCGGAACAAGTACAAATGTCTCCCAAGCTATTATGCCTATTAGAATAGCTGCTAGTATTTTTTTAAAATTTATTTATTAATTTTTATTTTTTAATAAAGAAAAATCATCAGCTCACGCACCTAATGCGTGTGTAAATCACTCATTTTGTCCACTTCAGCCATATCAATGCCACATAAGCTCGGTCAACAGTCAAAAGGGTTTAAAAGTATTGCTTTAATTAAGTTGAAGTGTCTGGATGAAACTTTACGGTATTTAGGGACCGGGATGACAAATCAAAATAAGTACAAGTATCTCCCAGGTTATTCTGCCAAAACAAAAACTAGAATTATCCTTTTCTCTTTTCACAAAAAGAAAAAAAGAAAAAGAAAGACATTATCGAAATATATAAAGAAAAAAAAAGAGTTAGGACCAGGCGTATGTGGATTGGAATCGGGTCGGACCATTTCTAAACCGATGGTGGATTTGAGAAATAAAATAGGGATCATATTATAACAAGGGGGTTAGGGCTGCGAACAATCAGAGAGACAGAGAGAGAGAGCGCAATAGAAGAAAACTGTGTGTGTTGATCAAAAAAAGGTTAAGCATTAAGCAAATGGCGTTGATGAAGGGAGAGCCATTGGTGAGGAAGGTGGCGCTGATAGCTAAATATGTAGTGTTCCCTGGAGCTATGGCTGCCGCCGTGATCTATTCTCCTCCCACTTACGCTTCTTATTATTCAAAGTCCCAATCTTCTTCTTCCAAATAAACCCCATGTCGCTTATTTTTGCTTTTCTTTATGGGTACGTGCCCTTTTCTCTTTCTTTTTTCAATTCATTTTCGTCATTCCTAGGGTTTAGAATTTGTATGCTATTTCTTTGCTGATTTTTATCCACTCTCTAGATTTTTAGTGATCTAATTTATGTTATGGTTGTTTTGTGTCTTAATATGCCTTATACCAATTTAATTTCCTGTTTGCTTTTCAAGAGTCAAACGAACTGAATTTTGCCTAATTTTTTGGAATGGACTCTTTCCTCATTTTGACATAATAATCAATATCCCGATGTAGCTCCAATAAAACCTAATTGACTTGATAAGCTGAAAAGGTAATTAAATTGGGGATGGAGAGAGAATTGTTTGCCCTTTTTGGTATGTGACCTTTCTTTGTCTGCCAATCTTTGTGACCTCTCCTTGGTTTTGGGTCTTGCGGACAATGTTTTTTGTGAATATTGCTGCCTTTGATGGTGGATTATTCCATTATATTCTAATTGCTTTCTTGTTTTGAGAATGAAAGCGTGGTATATTAATTTTCTCAGGGAGGAATTCAAGGGTTAGTTTGTATGCACTGTGACTTTTTGGGTTAACTTTCTTGCTGACCCTTGTATATATACAACAACAACAACAACAACAACCCAGTATAATCCCACTTACTGGGATCTGGGGAGGGTAGTGTGTACGCAGACCTTACCCCTACCCTAGGGTAGAGAGACTGTTTCCAAATAGACCCCCGACATACTTCCCTCCAAGAACTTCCCACCTTGCTCTTGGGGAGACTCGAACTCACAACCTCTCGGTTGGAAGTGGGGATTGCTTACCATCAGAGCAACCCCTCCAAATAGACCCTTGTATATATGTGTGGGAAAAATGGAACAAGGGCATTTGCATTTGAAATCATAAAGATAAAAAAAAGTACTAGGTGGAGTAGCCCTCGCTGCCGTTATGAGTTAGTATGATGTATTTTCTATTCTTTAAATGAATGTTGTGTAATAAGTAGCAGGAGCTGCTTCTCCATTATGTGATTAGAATAGGATTAGCTGGTGAGTGCTGGAAATTGTGTTATTCTAACTCCTGAAATGCTCTAAGCATATATAGATCTAATAGAATTTTTTGTGGGAACAAATATAGATATAATTGAATGTTGTGACGAACTTCTTCACTTCATTTGTCTAGATCTCCTAGAATGTGCTTTTGTATCTTCTTCTTGTCTAGTGTAACACCCTTCTCCATGACAAGAAGTAGGTGGGGTGAAAGTGCTATATAAGCAGTTAACACCTGCTTAAAAGTCAGCAGTGGGATAGCCATTAAAAGTATGTTTTCTGTAAGCTCAAAATTATATCTCGTCAGAAACTGGGTTTGGCAGCTTAGTGGCATTGGTGTGGAAGAGCTAATGTCTCTTTGTGTCTGACTTTTTCTTTTCTTTTCTTATTTTGCATCACATAGCCTCCATTACTTTCTCTACTGTTAACTGACTCTTTAGTTATGGTATTCTTCTTGAGCTTAGGTGTTAATTTTAAAGCTCGTGCTTTTGCAACTTTCGACAGTCATCTCAATAATGTTGTCTCGACATAAAGATTTTATTACTAATTTCAGGAGATTAATTATGAAATTTCTTATTCTGGTAAGAGACTTGATTGTCTTTTTAGGGCTAAGTGTGAGATCTAGAGAACATCTAGTTTCAAAAAACCCCTAATATATCTAAAAGAGAACTTATTTAGTATTGGGAACTGGGTCTGAGTAGAGTATAATGGGTATGGAGGATTCAAATGGCTGACCACAACGAGTTTGAGATTGAGGAATAGTTGATTCATATACATTTATTACTAGCAAAAAGGACATAACTGTTACATTTGAACTAAGCCTAACATTTAAGTGGAGAAGAGTAGAGGAGCGGCCTCATTATCCATGAGTTTCGAAGGTTGCGGTTGGGCCTAAGGGTTGAACCTGAATGGATTTCTCGAGCATTAAAAAAAAGCGAACATAACCCCTTACGGAAGAAGAATAGAATAACCTGTAGCTACACAAGAATATTGTTCTCTATTATTGTTAACAAATCTTTTTTTTTTTTTTTGGGTAATAATTGTGAAATATTACCATCACAACCAAAAAATTGATACACCTAAAGAGTACCTAGGACTATAACCACCTTCTAGGAAGGTGGTTAATAGTCAGTTAGGTCTCACTTGAATCTAATTACATAATCTTTGAAATAACACTTGTATCTACTAGCTCTTTTTGTACCCTGTAACATATCTAATGTATACTTAGTTTCCTTCTGTATCTGTTCTATCACAAAATTGGTACTTTCAGTTCCTAAACTGTTTCCAGTTCCTAGCTGGCCATGTGTAGTAAATCAGGGCCCACCCATACCGCTATGACCAGCTCCTTCTTCATTTGTCTCCAATACCTCCTCTTGATCTGATCCACCTTATGCTCTGTCTGATCCCTTGCTTCTGGAATTGGATGCCTGACCATGCTGATAGTTTATCCCTCACTTCTGTAATCCAGGTGTATTCAGCAAACAGATGAGTCTGTGTTTCAATTAGGCCCTCCTCACATAAACAACATATAGCATCATTCACTTGCATTTGTAGTCTTTGGAGTCTCTCCTTAGTCAACAACCTGTCTTGGCTAGCAAGCCAGACTACAAACCTTAGCTTAGGTAGCATTATTATTCTCCATATTAGATCAGCCTCTTGCAGTCTCACCATATCCCCTAGCAGGGCATTATAACTCATAGTAACTGAGTAGGCACCATTTGGAGTAAGAAAAATCCTCCCATTCTGATACCATTGACTCATTAACAGCTTAAGGGAGTTAAGTTTCTTCCAGTTGGTACTACAGTCAATTGGTGGTTGCTGATTCCAGATAGACACATCATGTTTCATATAAAGCCCATGCACTCATCTCACCCATAAGATGTCTTGTTTCCTTGCCAGTTGCCACAACAACTTTCCACTGATGCCATATTCCACTTCCTGCAGCTCTTAATTTTTTAGGAACACATACTTTAGAGGCAGCCCTAGATATCTTAATAATTTGTACAAGTCGGAATTGATATATGCTCCTAAAGATAAGAAAAAGCAGCAAGATATGATGATCTGCATGAAGGAATGCTTAGTTCCTCTATGGACGCTCTTCTAGTCCAGATCATTGTCCGGGAAATGACATCCCATGCTAGGACCTTTCTTTCTTCTGGCTTCCTACTAATCTTCCATAGTTCATGACATAGCTTATTGACACCTCGAATCTAAATTATCAGACCAAGTTCTTTAGTCTTTTGGAATGTATTAACTAGTCTCTCCAACATTATTTCACCACCTGGCAAAAGTTAAGACCAGCTTGTGTAAACTGTCTTCTTTAGACAGTGTATTTGTTGTTCTTTTTGTGCTTTTCTCTTTCAAATAGACTGTCTTAAACACTTCACGGACACAGCTTTTTGACTCCAAGCTCTTGGAGAGAGATGCTAAAGTTGCTGTTTTGAGCGGTCTGCTCGTAGCACCTGGAATGTTCCCAAATCCCACTCTCTCTTAGTTCTATCTCAGGATCTACCACTTTGTTGAACTCCTCTCAACTTCATGTCTCCTTCCAGCGAGCTGTCTCGTGTGCTCGTCTTCCAAATCATCCTGCTTGCCTTCTCCACCCCATAATCCCAATTACTTTCTTCAGGCTTGCTCCTCCGGGACAAATCTTTCATGTTGTTCCCTAGTATTGGTTACTAATGACCCTCATATCCATTGTTCCATTTTGTATACCTCTATCAGAAATCACTGTTTTCCTGACTCATCAAATGGAATTTTCAATCTCTCGTTTGCTTCCCATTGAGAACTTCTTTCCAACTGCTCCATTTTCTGAATGAATGATACTAGTAGTCTTGGAAAATTCATGTGCTCATGCTTTATGATACTTGCTACTCTTTTGCTTGTCGCAGAATTGATGGTTGGACTAGATATGAGTTTAACAGTACGTTGCAAAGTTTTTGAAAGTGTTAGCTATATATGTCTTTACTTTTTTCTACTGCACTGTATCTCATTGTTGAAAATGTTGATTGTGATGTTGTTCTGCTTTTTCCTTGCCATGCCATGTTTAATAACTTTGTATGACGGACGAGTAGAAGCAAAGTACAAAGTTGGGTTAGAACTTTGATGAAATGAGCTGATTTATCTAACATATAAAAGAATATAACTATTCGATCGAACTGCTATTTTTCCTTCAATCCGCAGAAAGATAATATACTCCGGGGTTTTATATTTTGTTTATATGAAACATGAAGGAAGGGATTGCCTGGTCCTTGAACAGTTCTTCCAAAACAAAGGATTTATTGAATTGTCTTCTTAGAACAATTCATGGTTCATATGCTTAGTCAGAAGGAATAATGCAATGGAGTCTATGGATTTACCTAGGTCATTATGGGCTAGTCACACAAGGATTTTTTAGAAATCTTTTCCGGACATGAGAACAACAACATTACTATGACACCAAAAAGAGAGTTAGTTTCTTTTCTATTTACTCGTATCTGAGTTGTTTGTGTACTATTCTTTTTCATGGTCTTGGTCTGGTTGATCTCAAAGGTAGTAGTTTGGCTTGTTGATTAACTTCTATGTGAGACTTGATAGACTAGTATAGGCCCAATTTACGTTTTGCATCTACCCTTGGTTAATAATAACACCAATCTAGTTACACACATGAATTATAATTGGATAACCTGATATTCTATTTCAGTTAAATTTCTTCTTTTCTAAATACAGCACGCATCACTTTAATTTAGTTGTATTTTCTTTTAATGGCCATGTTAATTGACATGTTATATCGTTCTTGATTGCAGAGATCTTTTTAACTTGAAGAATGCTTCTGGTTCCAGTAGTCTACTGATATGTTCTATTTGTCGTTGACGTGGCATGTAATAATCCAAGGGCAGCTTTTTTCTGTACTCAAACTATGAACATTTGAAAATCGGAATACTCCATAATTTTCAAAATATCAGTTGAGCTCGGTCCCTTTTATTATCAGCTTGTGAAACCTTCTTCCATTATGTATGTTTCCAATTTTCCTAAAACTGAAGTTCAAGACTAATTATGGACGAATTAACTTAAAATAAGTTTGACGGAATTTTGTGAGGACAATCTCTTCTGTTGCATTTATTATTCGGAAAAAGGGCCTAAACTACCCCTATTGTTTATTAAATGGTTTACAAATACCATCCATACATCTATTCGTCCGAAAAAGCACACGGCGTTATTTATATACCTTAAAGTATCCCTCCTTTTAACGGCAGCAAATGTGGGGCCCACTTTTAATGCGTTGGCAACATTTTATTAAGTCACGTGGCTCTTAATTTCACTTCATGCATATGGGTATAATATACCCATCCCATTTGTTTGACCGGCCCTATTAAATTCTTTCTTTTTTCTTTTTTCATTATCACTCAACACACCTAGTCCCACCCACCAGATCCCTCCTTCTTTTACCTGCCTTGAAAAGAAAATCAACAAAAATGGCAGCCACAACACCACCCAAAAACTTTTAGAAATTTTACTTGTCCTATTGAAACACAATGCATTTTAATACATACAGTGAATGTAAGTTGGGTTAGCGAGGCATTGAACAAATTCCAATTCCAGCAAGAAACGCTGGCGCCCATCATCGGGATCTTTATATACGCTTTTCTGCCTGCAAATTTCAATTGGTTAATTAAGGAAGATGCAACTGATTTTAACATAAGAACCCAAAAGGAGAGATACATGAGTACGGTGAAGAGACAAATTTAGTTGATTCATCTGTTTCTGGATTAGGAGTAGAAGCCATTCGCCAAACCCTAACTAACTTAGCCGAATCACACTACTGTCCAACCTACTTGATTTTGAACCAATTAAAGTTCTTTAAAAAATTTAATCAAGAAACTAGAAGAATAGGAAGAGAAAAAAAGTGAGTACAATCTCGCGAACTTCTAAGATGAGTAGCTTGTATGCGTTCTCCTTCCACTTGAACCTATGTTTAAGAGAATTTGGTAGGCTTTAATTTCTTTCAACCAGTTTTTTCCAGCAAAACAGTCACAACACCACCCAAAAACGCATCACTGTCAAAATCAAACCCTCGACTTTCTTCAAAACAAGATCTGAAAACTCACTTTCTACACCATTGGTGGTTGATTTTTGAGTTAGGTTTCAAGGAGCCAAGTCAAGCGAGGTCTTTGGCAAGTTCTTTGGTTTGCGATTTCCGGTCATAATCCCCGTTCAGTCAAGTGCTAAGAAAGAAAGAAAAAAATAGTAAAGAAAAAAAGAAAATAATGAGGCGGGTCAAATAGATGGGGCGGGTCAAACAAATAGGATGGGTATATTATACCCATATGTATGAAGTGAAATTAGAAGCCACGTGGTCCAATAAAATGTTGCCAACGCATTAAAAGTGGGCCCCACATCTGCTGGCGTTAAAAGGAGGGGTAATTCTAGGTACATAAATATCGTCGTGTGCTTTTTCAGACGAACAGATGGACGAAGGGTATTTGTAAACCATTTAGTAAACAATAGGGGTAGTTTAAGCCCTTTTCCATTTATTATTTATCAAGCCTTTAATTGAAATATAACCGAGAAAGGTTACTTGTAATACTCTTTGAAATTGCATGAAGAATCCAAAAAAAATCTATAATGAAGTGTATGATACATTGACCAATCCTGATACAATTTTGTTTTTAACCTATAAACTTGACAAGGTTCTTCTTTTTCGATGAAATCATTTCAGCTCTATACTTTTCAAAAGTAATGTTCACTTTTTCTTCATTTGTAAGCACTTGTGACTATGTTCGTAGTTTCTATTTCCAGATTTTGATTAATAAATGTTTAAAAGACTTGGTCACAGTTTCAAATGAAGCTTCGATGCTCCCCTTTTATTAAGCCCAAGAACCACTTTATTGACTCACTTTTGACAGCAAATGATCCATTGATTTTCAAAAGAAGAGTCTGTTTACACTTTCATATGCTCTATCATGACTAATTCTGCCTAGCACTTTTCAGCAAATATCACGGTTGCAAATGCAGGGGAAAGGAGGAATTAAAAAATTAATTCGGTTTAGGCATCAAAGTAATTTATTTGCATTCAAGTTAGGATATGAATGTAAGCCTAGTCCTCATGAAGGAATAGAGAGAGTTGAGAGAATTTAATTTTGGTTTAGACACTTACATTGTTTATTAAATTTGAATAATATTAATTTTTTCTTAGCCTATGTTGCCTTCTCTTAAAAATTTCTTTCTATCTGTCCAGTTTGCATCAAGGATGGTAGTAGGATGAATATGATTCCTCCATCTTTAATTAAAGATCTTGAATTTGAGTTATGTGAATGGAAACAGTCCTGATAGGGAACAGTTTCAAGTTAATGATCCTTATGCAACACGAATCCGAATTAGTCATGGACTCAATGCAAGTACTGAACACCGGAGTGTGAAAAAAAAAAATTAGTCAGGGAACCCTATTTAACACATTAAATCATGCTTCTTGAATTGAATGCAATGCCTGTACTCCAAACAAGAAAAACGTGTTATCAGAAAGAAGGATTATAACCTGTAAAACATACTTTGAACCTAGATTGCGTACTAGACGTCTGGACTTCTAAATTTGGAACCCCTTTATTATGTGGTGAAAATAGTCTTGTTTTTGGCTGAAAAAAAAAATTCTGATAAGACACCCAAAAAAAACAAAAAACACTTTCAATCTTGGAAACCTACCCTCCGAAACTGAACAAACTCTTTGTTACATGAAAGCTGCATTTCACAGTCCATTATTAATAAGGACCACCACAGTAGGACATTGTTTAGGTATTTTGGAAGCCATCTCTGGCATTCATATCCAACAATTTACTCTTTTTGGAATACCAATAATAAATCCAAGATGAGTATCCTATAGTTTTACTATAAGATGGGTCCTCAAATTATTTAATTCTGAACTGGCTTGAAATAGACTTGCTATAAACCTTTCTCTTCATTATTCTGTAAGGTTATGCATCTTTTCATATATCTTCCACTAAAATCTTGGCATTCCATTTTCATAACTTTGGCTTTTTTTCTTATTCTAAATTATTACACAAGTTTATAGAGTGATATAGAAGGAAAATTGGAACATGACTAGCTAACTCTCTTGTCCCATGACAAGAGGTTGGTGGGGACTTGTTTGGAAACTTTGGGAAGAAAAGCCAAAGGGAAAGTAAAAGGTTTAGTAATTTCCTGTTTGGCTACATTGGAGGGAAAAGTAATAATTATAGTTAACTACTTTGCTGGAAAAGCTGAATTAAGCTTATTATTTAACTTTTATATACTGATAATATAAAAGTTTGTAGTACAATCTGGTCACTTCAAATGTAGTTACAGGAAACTAACCTGAAAATTGAGGCAATGAAAACCTTATGTAGGAAATTAAATTGCACCAATAGAGAAAATGAGAAAAAATCCTACCTCTTTCTTTCCCAGTTTAACTTCGAAGATGGGTGATTTTACTTTATTTCAACAACAGCAATAATAAATATAGTGAAATTTTATAAGTGGAGTCTGGAAAGAATAACTAGTATACAAACCTTACCTCTACCATGAGAAGGTAGAGATGCTATTTTTGGAAACTCTCGGCTCAAAGAAGGATGAAAAATGAATCAGTAGCATTAAGTTTCACTTTACTTCATGAAGCTTAGTGGGCGTTTGGACATAAAAATTGTAAAATTTCGGGGGGGTGGGGGGAAATCAAGTAAAAATGATATTTAAAAATTAAAGTTGTGTTTGGATATGAATATAGTTTTAAGATGTTTTGAATTTTTGTGAGTGATTGAAGTGAAAACTTTAAAAAATATCATAAATTTCATGACCATTTCGGGAAAAAGGATTTTTTTTATTTTTTTATGGTTAAACGGGTCCTGTCAAATCCACCCCTTAATTTGAAGTCCCCTAGATGTCCTTTAAAGATGCTTGCGTCAATGTTTGACCTGTAAACTTTCCAAAATTTCTGTTTTTCCATGAAATCTCCTTTATATCATTTCAAAAAGTAACATTACCTTTTCCTTGATTTGTCAGTACTAGTAACTCTGTTCACATTTACCACTTGCATTTTGTCATTAATCAATATGTAAAAGATGTGGTCATTGTTTCAAATAAAGCTTCAATATATATATATATTCCCCTTTCTCCAAGTCCAATAACCACCACCGCTTTCTTTGTATCCATTGAGTTCCCAAAGTAGAGTATTACATCATGACTAATTGCCTAGCACTTTATAGCGAATTTCACGGTTGGAATTGCGGGGAAAAGAGGAAATTAAAACTATTTTCGAGTGTTAGCTAGTATAATTACTAAATTAATTTTGGTCAACTTAGGATTCCAGTGTAACCCTTAACCTGACCAACAACCAGAGTACACTCTTGACGCTTAAATTGTTTCTTAGAATTGAAGAAAAGAAAAGTTTAAATAATTAATTTTAGTTGTCTATTTTTTAATCAAAAATTTTATATAATTTTTGAATGTGGGACAAAAAATCTCTCTTCAAATTTTGTTTCGTAACTCCAAATCAAATAATTGTTGATTTTAATGACGTTAGTCTCCCCATTACTTGGCCAATATTATCTTTTGAGTAAACTTCCCTATTATACCCCCCATCATAAAAAGTGAAGGATGCATGATTGAATTGCTTGGCCAATTAAGTAACCACGGATGTTTGGGAATTAAACATTTTTGTTCTATTTGTTTTTCGTCTTAAATTTATTTGTGGGATTTGTAAAGCCAAATCTTGTGGAGTATAAAGACCAACTCAGGGATATTTTTTCGGTATTAAATTTCTCGACGTATCTCAAAACTTACTTACCAAATATATTCATATGTAATAGTTTCCATTAGTAGCATGCAACAAATATAATCTAGCCCTTTCACACATAAAGAAACAAAAAAAATAGTATATTATTTTTCTTGAAATGAACCCTCCAAACTCTGTTACATGAAAGCAACATTGCACATTCCAATATACTCCTATTAATTAACCCCAG